TGGACTTCCCCACTCCCCTTGTAAGCACCAACACTAAACCCTAAACCCTAAACCCTACAACCCTAAACCCTAAAACCCTAAAATCTGAGCCTGCAGGAGGCCGCTGCAGACGGCCGCCTCGCGGAGGCCCTGAGCCGCCATCCAAGCTTTTTGGGTTTCCTTTGAACCCTAAATTAGAGGTAGAGGGTTTAGGGTTTAGGGTTCAGGGTTTAGGGTTTCGGGTTTAGGGTTCAGGGTGTAGGGTTTCAGGGTTTCAGGGTTTAGGGTTTCGGCCCTAAATTTGAGGTTAGAAGAAACCGAAAAAAAGTTCTAAACCCCTAAGTAAGGTTTACCTGAACCCCGAAACATATGAAGAATCACAGCAGTTCTGGGATCCAGGTGGGGTTCACGTTTGGATGCGTTTATAGTTTAGTTAATTTGCCAGTTCGGGTTTAGTGTTGAACGTCTGGAAATCCTTTAGTCCTTTTATGACCGCTGCCAGCTCCTCAGCTTTGGTGATGATTTCTTTTCATTTTCCATGTGGCTTTCCATAACACCGTTAGCCCAAACCCCATGTTCTTGTATATCCCTGCATACCCCAGTACAACCCAGCACAATCCTATATGCCCATGTATCTCTCAAGTAGCTGGAATGTGTTGTATATGGGGATCTTACTATAGCAGAGGTCGATTCCATATTCTATCTACTTAAAGGGGACTAAACCCTAAACCCTAAACCTTAAAACCTGAACTTGATACCCTAGACCCTAAAGCCCGAACCCTAAACCCTGAACCCTAAATCCTAAACCCTAAACCCTAGACCCTAAACCCTAAACCCCTGTGTATCCCCAAAGCTGCCACGGTATCTATCTCAGGCAAAGCGCTGGCTCCTCAACCTGCCGAGCCAGCGGCCCCGGCGGCCCCGGAGGCCCCCGCCCCAGCAGAGGCGTTACGCGAAGATCGGGATGGTAAAGGGCTTAGGGTTTTTAGGGTTTAGGGTTTAGGGTTTAGGGGTTTTTGGTTTAGGGTTTAGGGTTTAGGATTGAGGGTTTAGGGTTTAGGGCTTAGGGTTTGGGGCTTAGGGTATTTAGGGTTAAGGCTTTAGGGTTTGGGGTCTATAGGGGATGGAACAGGGGTATATAGGGCGTGATCTAGGGGGATATAGGGCATTATATAAGGGTAAATAGGGGATGATATAAGGTATATAGGGTATGTAGAGATGAAATAGTGTCGAGCGTAGGTTGTGGTAGTCTATCATTCGCCGCAAAATTGGCCTGGGAAGCAGGCTGGGACTCAGAATTCGTATTGGGAAGGATGAGCCTGGCGCATTGATCTTACAGTAAAAACCTAGTTGGCCAATTCAAGCGGCTAGACTTTGAACCTTTAGTTGTATAATAACCCTGTACATAACCTAGAAGCCCGCATCCCCTGCCACTCTGCAGCCTTGTGGAGCAGGAGGGAGCCAAGCCAAAGACAGAGGAAGAGGAGTTGGAGGCCGGAGCCAATTTTGTCCATATCAGGGGAGTCAGGGGACTTAAGTGCATATGAGCTATAGTCTAAACTCCTTAAAGGGGGTTATATGGCGGATTAAATAGGGGAGTACTATAGGGGTTCTTAAGGGGGATACTAGGAGTTTAGACTATGGCTCATATTACCCCAATGTAACCCGAATATTACCCCAATATAATCCCAATCTTAGGCGGGTAACCGGCAGGTTGTACTTCCCCTGAGCCTCCAGGGTGAGGATGCCATCCTGGGGTAAACCCCCTTTAATATTGGGATTATATTGGGGTAATATTAGGGTTATGTTGGGGTAATATAGAGGTTATATAGGAATAATGGAAAAATAAGATGGAAATTGCTATTCAGCCTTTAGGGTGCTTACGCATGGCTGAAGGCTGACTGCTGTTTTGGAAGCAATTTTGAGCCTTGAGCCTAGTTGACGACAGCTCCTTCGGTCTAGCAAGCTTGTCTACGAAGCCGCTGAGAACATGTTGGGGTGGTTGTCAAAATTATGGTCCCTTTTTGGATTCCTATTATAATACGGAACCTAATACTTAGGGTACCCAAAAAGGGATCATAATTGTGACAACCACCCATATATTCAGGCTTCGGTTAGGGCTTGCTGCCAATACGCAGTGCCTGACAGGACCTGCGAATGGTTGCCAAGGACGCTGCGTTAGTGGCCTGCTTGTGCCTTTTTGGAACTTTGCGTGCTACTTGGAGGGTCATGGGGACTTAGTAAGCAGGTTAATCATTAGGATGCTTAGGGTTACTATATGGGTTATAGGGGTTATCCTACTTACTAAGTCCCCCTGACCCTCCAAATACGTGATTCGAAGAACATTTGCAGCAAGGCTCACCTCAAGCCGGAAAAGCAAATCCAAGGAAATTTGACTCTCTTCCTGCTGTCTTCGTGAGGAGCAGTACTTTGTGGTCGCTAGAACTGTCATCGCTGCTATCATCAATGATTGTGACCTCTCTCCCAGCGTGTCTTTGCCTTACTTTGCTGTGTGTTATGCGAACGCCTCATCTCTTAGCCCAACGACATCAACACAGTGGCTTGAATTCCGAACCTTGCGCTCTCAACACGCAGGTCTTCTAACTTGAGTAGAAGATACTATGTAGCGCGGCTCAAAGAAAAAGGAAGGTAATGCCCCAGCCCCAAAGCTCGGCATTTTGCTCCCGAAGTCTCAGAGGACAATGGTCCCCCTTAAGTAGATAGAATAATAGGGGGGCTATATTAGGGTTATATTGGGATAATGGAAAGAAAATGGAAACTACTATTTAGGGTTTAGGGTTTCAGGTGTATAGTCCCCCTTAAGTAGATAGAATAATAGGGGTTTTATAGGGATAATGGAAAAGAAAATGGAAACTACTATTTGGTAGGGTCTGTAAGTAGGGGGACCCCAATATAGACCCCCCAATACTATAGTCCTTATTATGGGGAACCCCAAAAAAGGGCACCCCTAATTTTAGGAAACCTCCTTTTTGGGGTTTAGGGTCCCCCGTAAGTAGATAGAATATGGGGTATATGGGGATCTTATAATACTAATATACTCAAGGCCATATTCTTCCCTAAGCCCTAAACCCTANNCTAAACCCTAAACCCTAATTGGGTAAGTCTCAGAGGACACGCTGCTTGCTGCATGCGCGGACGGCCGGCTCGAGGCCGCGCTGCAGACGAAGACGGAGGCGGCGGCCTCCCGACGTGCTCGAGACCCCCTGAAGTAGAGAGGATATGGGGTTTAGGGTTTAG